GGAGGGAAGTGAAGGTACATACAACTTAGAGGACTGCTCATCCACCCACCACAGCTCCAAAAGCTTCCAAATCCCACCCTCTTAGAGAGAAATCCACCCACACATGCAGGTGAGGTTTCTTGCTCAGTGCAACAAGCAACGTTCTCAATTTTCACTGTCATCATCATGTCATCTGTGATTTCAGTTGACAACCACCACACAGGGAGATTGAGAGCTGCGCTGTAGGGCCTGAGTATGGGTTCAGGGTGCCCATCTTTAAATTCAGAATTCTTACCCTTCATCCCAGTTGCCTTCTCTATAGCAGCAGTTAAAAACAAGCAGAGGGAAAGAGAAGCTACAAAGTTGGACCGGTTTCCCAGGTGGCATTTGTGTTGATTCAAACAAAACAGCACTGTTTTATCTCAACAGTCCAAGGACATGACAGATTCTGCCTGATAGCCAGCAGTAATGTAAGCTCAAGAAATAATGTCGTCCGCAGTTTCTCTGGGGAAAGTGATGCTTGTCAGCCTGAAGAAACGACCACGCCATCCTACGCCCAGATGCTTCCGTTCTGTTTAAACTGTACGCATCTTGGAAACCGAGCTCTTTGAGGGCTCCCAAGACTAACAGTTCTCATTCATTTCTTGTCTTCAAACAGGCACCCTGCTGACAGGCTTCCAGGGCCCTCAGCCTTAGCAAACACGTCATTTTCTTTCACAATGAGAAGATAAACGTGACCCAAGGCATGAGTGACTTACTGGCGTCCATTGCTGGGTTGCTGGGTGTCACTCAAAGTGCCTCTCTGGGAGAATGTGTTTCCAGGCAAAGAAAGTGTCACAGCTTGCAGTTAAAGTAAAGTTTGCTTACCCCCACTTGTCAAAACAGCCCATTCCATTGAATAAAGGAGACATCAGACACTGTCTAAATGAGTAGTTAAAAAGAGGGCCTGAGGCGGGGGTGGGGTGGGGTGGTAAGATCCATTCCTCCATATGCCTGAAGAGAGGTCCCAGTTTCTACTTTTCACTGCTGAGATGCTATGAAATCAGATGTATTTACTTAATACCAGAGAAAAGAACATAGCAAATAAGAGATGGGGAGGGGGGAGGGAGAGACAGACAGCAAAGATGTGCAAATGGTACTAAGGTATGGGATGACATTCTCTAAGTGTGTGAATGTGCACACACCCATGTGTGCACACATATGCTAATGAATAAGTCTTGTTCTGTAGTCCAGACTAGCTTGGAACTCACAATCCTCCTGCCTTAGCCTCCCTAGCATTTAGATTAAAGGTATAGCACTCAATGCCTGGCATCATTTTTATAGCCTATTTTCCTCATATTAAAAAAAAATAAAAGCCTTGTTATTTCAATGACTTAATTAGTCAACACCATTCAGAAAAGTTGTACAAAACACAGAAAGTGATTAATACCGGCCGCTGGGAGTACCTGCTATGTGCCGGGTGTTATTCTAAGTATGCTGATTTATTCAGTTCTTTGATTTGCATGGTGATAGCTATTGTGACTATCCTGCCTTAACTGATGGGTGCTCCTGCCCCACATGCAGAGTTGGGAAGCCTCTCTTGAAGATCACCAAGCTTCTCCGCTGCCAGGAGGCTACATTCCCAAATCTATACTGGTATCACCCCCCCCCCACGATTCCCTAAAGTCAGTAAGGAAGCAGTGGGCCCCATTCTACCTGACCTCTCCATCACTCCCTGCCTCAGGCTATCACTGTCCTGAGAGAGGGAGACCAGCTCATCTCTATTTGCCTAGCACTTGACCATGTTCAAGCTCAAAGTCCTGTTTTCCCAGGAAGCCCTCTGTCCTAGGCAGACTGGGATGGCTATCCACTTCATAAAGAGGATTCCCCATGGGGAATGGCATCTTGTTTACCTTTCCCATGAATATGGAAATGGATTTAATAACTTTGTACACATACAAGGTCTTGGATTTGGGGCTCAATGGGAACACTGAAGCAGATTGTCCTTTTGGGTAGAAGTTTATTATTTATTCAGCCTATGGACAAAGAGACAGGCAGCAGGGCAGGGTCTTTGAGGAGATTTCAGGCCCTGAGGCAGAGTGGGGGACCCTTCTTATAGGCCTCAGAGGAAGAGTGGGGTGCCATATAGTCAGGTTGTCTCTTGGTTCCCTGAGCTGCAGGAAGATGGGAATAATAGGGGTACATGATTTGGGTGTATCCATTATGGGGGTAGGGAGGTGGATCACCACCATATCCCTCTGATGTCCTAGAGTCAGGCAGCCTGGTCTTTGGGAATGAAATTCACAAAACATCAAGGTGGCCATTTTATGTCTGTACTTAGTGGTGTTTGATAAATTCAGCTTTGTACAGTCGTCATCTCGTCTTAATTCCAAGAGATCAAATATTCAGCTGTATTTTCAAGTGTTCAAAGGAAACCTGTAAGACTTGTCTACTTGTCTACAGCTGGATAATTGATGTTGGGGTTGTGATCAAGTTCATGTGAGCCATCTGAAGCTCTTGGAAGAACATGAGTAGAGGGAGAAAGGGAACTCCAGGATTCATTTCCTGCTTTCATGGAAAACACTGAGTCAACATCTAGGACTTGGCAATTTTAATTTCCTAACACTAGTCCAAATAAATGAATAAGCATGATGCTGTATCTCTCCCCCAGCATTTCTCATTCCTCACCTCCAACCTATTAGTGTTCTTCCCTAAGGAACAGTCCACGTGGGTGCCTAGTCACAAGCTGGAGATGGACTAGAAAGAAGGGAAGTCAACAACACTGTTAAATGCAGCCTCAGGGGAAGGAAAAGAAATGTAAAGCAGAGGCCTTTCCCAGGCTATAGGTCAATCCAGAGAGCAGCACGTGCTAGAACACACTTCCTTTCCCAGAACCCAGGGAATCCAAGTATGCAAAATCAGAGCTTGCTGGCTTAAGAGGCATGAGCACACTGTCACATGTGCGCACGTGGAGGTCAGAGGCCACTGTTAGGTGTCTTCCTCTATTGTTTTCCATGTTTGTTTGTTCCTTTGTTCACCCCCAGCACATCTCTTGTTGAGCCTGAAAGATCACCTGACTGGTGAGCTCCAAGGAGCCTCTTGTCTGCACCTTCTCAGTGTTAGGGCTCTAGTCCGCTGTGCCTGGAATTTTACATGAGTGCTGAGGATCTGAACCCAGGTCTTCATGCTTGTCAGGACTTTATTATTGATTGAACCATCTCCCCAGCTCTGAGCAAAATGCACTTTCAAATAGGTCTTATCATCTAAGAGAAAAATTTCAAAACAGTTCTTGGACTGGACATCAGAATAACAAGCCAAACAGAGGCTCTCTGAGACAAATGGGGACATGTGGTCTCTCCCCTTGTGGAGGAGCATCTTGCTAGGCGGCTGAAAGCCATCACTCCTCAGCAACATCTAAGAGCAGGGGAGAAGAGGCAAAACATGTTGAGAAATAAACCCTTAAACAGAGAAAATCAACTAGGGCCCAGCCAAGCCAAGGATTGAAACAGCCAGGAAGATTAAAATCAGTTGATTGCAACATGTAATAGGGGAGTGAGAAGTGAAAAGCCAGAAAAGACACGAGAAAATATAAACCCAGCCAAATGAATGGATCGCAAAAACCTGGGGCCTGTCACACAAGCAGAAACATAGCATTCCAGGGAGAGCCTGGGCTAGACCAATGGAGTCCGGGGGCTGTAAAAAAGACAATACATTTCAAAGTGGAAGCAAGGTCTAAATGGATGTCAGATGACTCATGAGAGGGTCAGCAGATGACTCGGGAATGGAGCTCATGAGAAGACAAGTTAACTGAGAAGCAAAGAAGTTATACAAATAAAAACCACCTGCTGGGCTGGGGTGATGATTCAGCCAGTAAAGTGCTTGCTCTGCAAGCTCCAGGGCCTAAGTTTGCACCCTGGAAATAATGTTAAAAAAAAAAAAATGAGAGGGCTTGAATGTAATTCTAATCCCAGCACTGGGGAGGGGGAGACAAGCAGATCCCTGAGGCTTGCTGGCCAGACAGTCTAGAAAACTCTGAGACCCTGTATCAAAAAACAAGATGAACAACACCCGAGGTTGATCTCTGACCTTCTTAGGCATGTGCACATACATATGTGTGTGCTAATGCATACATGAATACACACAAGAACTGTTAGAAATGAATAGTTATGGTTTATTTTTAGCTTTAACCGTTTAGAACTCATCAAATAATTGCAAAGATGCAGGAGGTACTGGCGCCCTATCTTCCATAGGTGGCAGCTGCTATGTAGGCACTCTCCGTTCATCCCAGGGTTGTAAAGGCAGTTGGCTACAAGACTGAGCCCATGTGTCAGAAAAGGAGGAAACTGCAGGTCCCAAGATATGCAGTAGATGAGGCTGAGTGTCCTGAACCAATGGGATGGGACTTCAGGGCCAGTCGGTGCTAGACACTGGGGAGATCGTATCTCCAAAGAGCTCAGCCAGTGAGAACACAACAGGACAGAGAAAGCAGTTTGGGATATAAGAAAAATCTGTTTGGGGCCAAATCCCTGCACCAGCCACCTTTGCCCTTTCTCTGGGCCAACACCGGAGTTTACAAGGTCATAAACTACTTCCCTTTCAGCACGCTGAGTCTCCAGTACTCTTATGAAGTGAGGTTCATTCTCTCTCTCTCTCTCCTGTGTTGGTGCGTGTGTGTGTCCACACACACACACACACACACACACACACACACACACACACACACACACATCGTCATCTACTGATTCAGGGTCTGGTCCAGCAGAAGGCTTCTTGTGGTTTCTCAAGTCACAGACAGAGGAACAAATGGCAAATACCACTTGGAGCAGGGCCCCCTCCTTTGGAATGGGTAAACAGCTCTCTCTCTCTCTCTCTCTCTCTCTCTCTCTCTCTCTCTCTCTGTGTGTGTGTGTGTGTGTGTGTGTGTGTGTGTGTGTGTATGTGCAGAACTGAGCAAGAGTAATGAGGAGTTGCTTAAAGGTTAGCAAAGGTATTCTCTAATTCCCAGTACCCTTGACTCCTAGCCCATGACTCACAACAGCCTAACTCACAGCCCCTGACTCAGAGCCCGCCTGACTCACAGCTCCCCTTGACTCACGGCCCCCAACTCACATACTCCAGACTCACAGCCCCTCTGATTCCCAGACTGTATTCTGTCTGTTTAATGGACCCTCCCTGGGCTCAGTTCTGTGTGGGCTTCAAGTAAATACCACCTGCTTCTCAGCTGCGGCTGGCGCAAATAGCATATATGGAAGGGGATCTGAATAGGTTCGTTAGGGAAAGTGGGAGGGAGGGATGAAGGACAGAATCTGCAGGGTGCATCAACAACCCTGGAGTCCTTTTGAGGGATCTCTGAATCCTCTGGGTTGGAATATTCTGCAAGAAATTTGGTCCCTTTTTTGCTCATTTGTGACTGAGCTCGCCTTCCCTCTTGCATCAGCATCTCAAATGCAGCTGTTTCCCTCTGTGGCTGAATGACCTTGTGCATATCCTTTTGGTTGTAGCTTTCCTGTCCCCGAGTGGAGGAAAATTGCAGCTCTCTCCATGGTGAACGGAGATGACAGAGAATCACTGGGAAGTCTCAGGGACTGTCTGCCATGCGGTAAGTGCTAACAGTAGATGGCGCTCCTTCTCCTTTGCCAGAACAGAAAAGAACTAGTTAAAGGACCAGTAAGAGTCCTCAATGGAACAGTATGAAGCCACTGACACTGACATTCAGTCTTTTGCCTCTAATGTCAACATAGATGCTCCTCTCAGCCTGCACCAAGTGCTTGCCTCAGGCCCCGCTTGGGGGAAATCCATGTGTTGGGATGGTTAAAATGTGAGACGCCCTTCATGGGCTCCTGTGTTAGAACACTAGCGATCTCCAGGTGGTGATACCATTTGCGGAGGTTGCGGAAACCTTTAGAGGAAGTGAGGTCCAGGGGGATGTGGGTAAGCAGAGTCTACCTCACACCCCCACTCCTGCAGCCACAGCCACTCCTCCTGCCGTACCTTCCCTTTCATGATGCACTATACTCTCTCAAACGGGGAGCTGCCTCTTTTAAACTGTTCCCATCAGGTGTCTGTCACCGTGACAACAAAAGTAGTTAGTGCTTCCGCCATTACTCAGCATGGACTGTCTGCCAGACAGTCTGCAAAGAGGGGAAAGCTACCACAGCATGTCTACTATGGAAGAAAGAGGGTGGGTGGGGGTGGTTTGGAGTGGGTGGGAGATCTTCTAAGTATAGTATCGTAAACAGCATCAGTAGAAATATCCCCCCTACTCCTTCCTCATATAGAAAGCAAAGGGAATATGGATCCAGACACCAGACTTTTGGTTAAACTCAGAGATGAGATGGAAGCTGTGTGATAGCACATGTCTATAACCTCAGCATTTGGGAGGCTGAGGCAGGGGGATTGGTATGACTTCAAGGACAATTTGGTCTGCTTATTGAGTTCTAGTCCATCCTGGGATACCGAGGGAGGCTCCATCTGAAAAACTCTGCGACAGAGTGCTTACTCAGCATATGCAAAGTGTTCAAGGCCCAACACCACAAAAATAAACAACACCAAAAGCAGCTGGATGTCCTAGATGGTGTACCAGCTTTGTCGTGCCAAAAGATGAAGGTTCTTGGCGTCATACTTCTTAGGCAGAGGCTCTAACTGAGCATGCAGAAATGAAGAGGTGGCTGCAATGTTAGTATAAGATGAAGATAAATACACGCTTAGGGACATCTAATAAAGTGTAAAGTCTAGGCAGGTTTACTTGCTTGTACCGTGACTAAGAGAGAATCAATTCCCTTCTTCGTTCCTCAGCATTCGATATGCCCAGTCACACATTTTCCTGTCTTTAGCAACTTCCTTAGGGATGGGCACTGAAGTCTTCCGTAGACCCCCGTCCTTCAGTGGGAGGCAGAGAGGGGGATATGGGAGCACAGACAAGTTACACATCACAGAAATCAGGGACCCTGAGTAGAGGCAAAGCCCCTCTCCATCCGGGGTCTACAGAGTAGAGGAAGGTGGGTTGAGCTGGGCCATTGTTGTTGTTTTAATGAGAGTGACTGGATAATACAACCTTCTCAGTGGCCAAACATCATCTTATATTTCTGGTTGTGAGCCTTGCCTTTAGCGGCTGAGCCATCTCTCCAGCCCCAAACATTATCTTTATTGAAGGGATGAGCATGTTGAGACCCAGGAAGTAAGAATGACTGGTTGCAAAGGAGGATTTGAAACTAATTCTGACCCTGAAGTGTTACATGACAGGATGTTAGCAAGTGTTGTCTCTAAACCCTATCAGAGAAGATTAATTCTTCCTTCTACGTCTTATTTGTCTTCAAACACGACCCCTGCTCTCTCACACACATCACACATCACCGATTAATTCAATGAGCAAAAGGAAACCTAGATTACCATGAGTGGGGTAATTGTGTTGTGATTTGCTGTATTAAGTGGGGCAACACTGAGATGCAATCAATGTGATTTGAATATTAATAATATGTGGACAAAACAGTTAGGAAGCTTGGGGAAATGTCCCAAGCAAGTCTGGTTTGGCATTGAAATTCTGCACTGGGAGACTTGGCTGCCTCAGAACTGTATCGGTGAAATTCCACAGGGAGGCAGCATATCCTCATAGTGACTGCAACTTTAAGGCGCTTAGAATGCTAACTTTTGTTTCTAGGGGCAGCAGAAGGGATCTCAGGCCCCAGCATCTATCCAGACCCTTCTCATTTATCATCTCAAAGTATAGCTGGATGTTGAGGGCACAGCTTTGTGTGGCCAAGACAGTGATGCCACTGTGTCCACACCGGGGACTAGCTGTATACCACATACCCAATGTTTTATGGCATTTAACCTCCCTGCAGTCCCGGAGCAGCATCTGGTGGCCTGTCTGTCATTGATTCTCACCCAAGGACAATATGGCTCAGAGTCATGTCCCATGTGACCCGGGAACCTGGATTTGCCATAATTTCTTTGGCAAAGTCTTTGGACCCTGAGGTGATGGAAGGAAAGGTTCCTCCCAGACTGGTTTTGTGAAATCCATGCTTATGGCTTAGATGCGAATTTGAAAGATCAGCAGCGAGAGGGTGGTAGTATTAGTTGGTATTTAAAAGCAGTACCAGGCACGGTGTTAAGACTTTAAGTATGTCATGCCATTTAATCTCCAATCACTGTGTGAACTGTCTCAAAGGGAGTTGTGCGCCCAGCGAAAGCAGGCATTGTGTATGTTCTTGTTTTAATCTGTAGTCTTTGCTATGCTGGTTATTTTGCTCAGCACCGTGACCAAATATCTGATGAAAGCAGTTTATAGGGGAAGAATTAACCTGCTTAGTGGTTGAGAGAACTCATGGTGGAACATGAGGTGGCTGACAAATCAGGAAGTGCCAAGAGATGGCTACTGCTGTCAAGTTGGCTTTTTCCTTTCCCCCTTTTCCTTCCATCTGGTGCCCTTCCTATGGATCAGGCATGCACATTAAGAGGAGGTTTTTGCCCTCAGGGACACATCCTCATATGCATTCCCAGAAGAGTGTCCCCTAGGTAAATCTAAACCCCATGGAGATTAACAACCATGATTAACAACTTATTTATAAACTGTGCACAGTGAAGCAAACAGGACAGAAGTCCCTCTTCCATGTCAAATCATGGCATCAGAGTTCTGGCAAAGACAACAAACACAACAAAGACGTGGAAAGATAACCTAGTTGTATGCAAACAGGGCTGCATGCTGGGTGGCCTCACTTTACACCCTACTCCAAGACCAACATTAATCCATTCACATGATAGGACCTTCTGCCAGCCTAAAAATTTCTCTTCTCTTCTCTTCTCTTCTCTTCTCTTCTCTTCTCTTCTCTTCTCTTCTCTTCTCTTCTCTTCTCTCCCCTCCTCTCCCCTCCCCTCACCTCCCCTCCTCTCCTATAGATTTATTGTTTATACAGTCTTCTGTCTGCACGTATGCTTGCAGGCCAGAAGAGGGCACCAGATCTCATTACAGATGGCTGTGAGCCACCATGTGGTTGCTGGGAATTGAACTCAGGACCTCTGGAAAAGCAGCCAGTGCTCTTAACCTCTGAGCCATCTCTCCTGCCCCCCTTACATTCTTTTTTAGATGTGTTCATATATTTTATGTACAAGAATTTTTTTTCTGTATGTACGTGAGGAAAGGGAATCAGATCCCATGGCACTATAATTATAGGTAATTGTGAGCCACCATGGGGGTACTGGGAATTGAACAGAACTTCTGAAAGAATAGCAAGTATTCTTGATCACTGAGCCATCTCTCCAACCCCTATAAATTAGGAAGTTATGGTAGTAGAGTTTTAGTGACTTGCCTAAGAACACACAGTCAGCATTCACACTCAGGTTTCTGATCCTGGAGTTCACAGACATGCTCACCCCCTTCAGTGGGATCAGGGTGAGAGGAGGATTGGATGTTGCTAAAATATTTATAATTCAACATTGAATGAGCATGGGTACTAGCCAGAGCAGAGGATATCTGTAGAAGCCTGTGTATCCCAGCTACATAGTAGCCTAGTCTCAGATGAGAACACCTAACTCAGCCTAAGAGGGAAATGCTGATTGATTGATTGATTGATTGATTGACTTCATGAATGATTGATTGAATTTGCTACTGGTCTGCAGATGAACCTGGACATTTCACTTGAAGATAGAATTAAAGGACTGCGGAGATAACTGAGTCGGCAAAGTGCATACCTTGCAAGGACAAGGACCTGAGTTCAGTTCCTAGAATCTGTGTGTAAAGGCTAGAGTTGAGGCCTCTTGGGCTCTATCACCCCCCACACACACACACACACACTGCTTTGGCATGTCTGGTGGCTTTGCCTTTGTTCAGCTCATGTTTAGGTGATAATGTTGGTAAGACTTTATGGTTATAGCTTCTGACATGACTAGACAATATCTCAAAAACAAAGAAGAAACATGGCTAAGCATGATGGCACATGCTTGTAATTCCAGCCCCTGGAAGGTGGAGACCAGTACATCCTTGCAGTCCACTGGACAGTCAGCCTAATGCAATGAGTGAACCCCACATCTCGGTGAGAGACTCTGCCTTTTATTTTAAAAATAAAAAGATGGATAGGTCCTGAAGGACAATACTAAATAAAGTTGTCTTCTTGCCTCCCTTTGCATGTAGGGCATCAGCATGTACACACATGCACACCTGCAGACACACACGGTCCAACACAAACACAAACAAAATTTCCAAAAAAAAAAAAAGCCTTAGGGGAAAAAAGCAAACAGTAGGCACCTAAAGTTCTCACTAAGCCTCTAAGTACCTTGCCTATGGTCCCACCATAAAGTGATTGGTTAAGGAGTGGCTTAGTAACCTCTGTGTTGTTGTGATGTGACCCTCACAGATGCTGCTTCCCTTTGGAGAGTATATTCTTGGCTGCTGGCTTCAGCCTGTCCCCAGTGATAGGGCATGGAGGGGCAGCTCCATTCGTGGCATTGGTAGCAGCCGGTGAGGGCAGCTGTTCACATCACAGTTGACCAGAAAGTAGAGAAAAAGGCAGGAAGTGGGGGGCCAGGTGTGCCCTTCAAATACTAACTTATAGCAGCCCGTTTTAGGCTCTACCTACAAAATCCCAGCATCTCCCAAAATGGTAC